TATTGCAAACAAGTAATTAAAAAATAATCGTACGATCAAGTTGAAAGGAAGAAACATAAGAAAAAATTCTACTGATTTAACTGATTTAAATAAAATCACATTTGGGAACTGTAATGAAAGAAGGAGGCAAAGCTCAATTATCGTCACTGTATAGATTTATCGTCAAAGCAATCTGGCTTTCATCAAAAATAGAAAAGCAGTTGGTCACAAATTTTTTGATTGATATCTTGCAAACGTTAGATTTAATATAATATCACGTGTGAACAGGATCCGATTGTTCTTAGCCCATTTCCGTATTCGGAAATATAACGCCATCTAAGCATTCTTCCATCAAATATCAGGACGAATCAACCTACTGACCTATTGACGCATTGAAAGAAAGGAAGAGAGAAGATTATTATAAAATATTATAAGTAATGTTTTATACTATTAATCATATTAAGCATTAAAAATAATATTTTACACTAATAGATATATATCAAACATTGATAATAAAACCAAGGTTAAAGAGACAAATTTTTGTTAAACTTTTCCCTATATTTTAGAAAAAGTATATTAAAACAGAATATCATTCTGTTGTGTGATTCTCAGCTACAACATTTTATGGTATGTTAAAAATGAAAATATGTATACATTAAATTTAAAAAATATAAATTGGTATCAAAGTTATTTAACACAGTGAATAAAATTTATAAGAAGAAAATCAGTATTTTTCGGCGAAATTTTCAAGTATGGCATTCCTTTAAGTTTTACGACTTGTGTCTGTACTGCGCTAGTACTTGTATACTGCAAACGAAAATTGAAAATATAATTAAACGGAAGAGTTCAAAATATAATTTATAACTGAACTTCTCAAAACTTAATTTAAATATTCATATAAAATAGAATTATTACTTTGATAACATTAATTAATATATTCACACCACCTTATTTAAATAAATAGTACATATTTTTATGAAAATTCATTTAATATCATTTATTTGTTATTAATTTATTATATATATGTGTGCTATGGATGATAGCTGAATAATTGTCGTACAATTTATATTTATAATATTCGCAAGGTACACATGTACATATTGTATGTGCTAATGGCCATTCGAAATTCGTTCTTTCGCCAGTTTCAATATATATTGTCAATAAATCACATAATATTCGAAAACATACACAAATCTGTTATTAGTGTCCTTCGGGCTATACTCAACTCAACATCTAAACTGAATTCGTGTACAGAATTGTCGTGTACAGAATTATTACCTTCGC